ATGATTCAACTAGATAAAGAAGAATTGGAACGTGTCGAATAAATTGATAATGATCATTTACTACTTTAATTATCTGAACTAAATGAATTAGCTACAACTATGAATAAAATGGCTATAATTGATTTAAGTATATTGACTACAGAGGATATCATGTATTTATTAATTGAAGCAACTGAACAGATTAATTTAATAAAAGAATAACGGACATGTATGATATAATTCTTTTCAAAATTAGCTGTTTAAACTCATATCACTCAGCAAGTAAGGAAATTTTAATTTTCTCTATCATTATGTTTTTCTTATAGATAAGTGTTAAAGATTTTGTTGATGTTATTCGACAACATGAAAAAGATAATTTATTGATTGATCCATTTGAATGTAGTTTTCATTGAAATTTTGGTACTTGCTACTACAACAATTGAAAATGGTGCACATTTATTATTTACTATAACTAAAACTTATTTATGTTGTATCAAGTAAACATATGATTAATCAAATTACAGGTAATGGTAAAATGTTACTTTTACAAATAGATGAAGAACGCAATGTTCAACTTCCGCCAGCATCTAATCATACATTGATTACTTCACTCAAAATAACTCACTTACCACAAGAACGACATACACTTTACCTTCAGAAATACATAATCATCAGACTACATATACAGCTTATATTAATAATTTGGTGACATTTGAACTTGAAGACACTGTTGGTTAAATAAATATATTTAGATAATTGGAAACAAGTTGTTGATTATATGTAAAAGATTGTTTGAATATTTTAAACTTTTCTGTAGATGTTTTAATCAAAGTTTATGATTTTAAATAATAGAAAATAAAGCCACTATATATAGTGACACTTTTGAAAATTAAATTATTTTAAAGAAATGATTTTATTGGATAATGATTATTGAAATTCTTTCAATTTTAATCAGAGGTAGTCAATAGGTATCTATTGATCTTATTTTCGCAATAAGTTTTAGAATGCTTTTTGGATTTATAAAGAAGTATGTGACATAATAGCAAAGTCTTCTATTGGATACATATCAAAGAAAGTTTCACGACAAATTACAGGGTGACCAGAAAGATATACAACAATTGTTTTTAATTATAACTTTTTATTATGACAATTTTTATTTTTTAAACTTGAGTGATTTTTGTTGACAAAATACAGAGGTTTAAAAATAAAACGGACAAGGTTAGTGAGAACCTTTGCTAAGTATCACTATTAGCCTCAACAAGAAAATTTTACTTGGTCACAATTAGGAAAAGAAAACAATACACTTACCATAGGTTCACACTAATCTCATCCGTATGGATTTGGAGCGTGAGCATGCCTTTATCTTTGGTTAAAAAGAATCAGCTTATTTGCTGGAGTCGTAATGGAAATATTCACTTTTGTTTGCCGATAAAGTGACTTTTGCACTATCTTGTATATTGTTTTTTTCCTACTTGTGATCAAGTAAAATTTTCTTGTTGAGGCCAATAGTGATACTTAGCAAAGGTTCTCACTAACCTTGTCTGTATTATTTTTAAACCTCTGTATTTTGTCAACAAAAATAACACAAGTTTAAAAAAATAAAAATTGTCATAAGAAAAAGTTATAATTAAAAACAATTGTTGTATACCTTTCTGGTCACCCTGTATTTTTATGGAACTCACATATATTTTTTTGGAATGGAAATAGTGAATGCAAGTTTTAAATGATAGTTTTTGCGGCTCCGAGCCATCCATCACCTTCATTACCAACGAGGTCAAAGTTCATTGAAGACGTTTCCATACCAGTCGAGGATAACTAGCACTAGACTTTTTCCACCGAGTACTGCTTAACGGCATTAACAACAAGCCTCACACTATTCTAGAAAATTCTAGGACATTATAAAACTTTCGTTGAAATAGGAATGGCTAGAAGGCATTCTAAATACGTAGTGTAGTTGCTGGTTTTTTTTGCATTACTTAACAATTATATTCAAGCTGTGAAAGATGATTGGTAGAGATGTAATGATTTGCCACAAAGGTGATATGATCAATAAAAAAAAAAGTGAATTAATCAAGTTATAACTTTAGAGAATAAAAGATATCAGTATTTCTGTACTTATTGAGATGTATGATTGTGCATTGAAATCTACTGTAGATATAATGGATATGTATAAAAGACTTATTTGCCAATTAAATCAATGGTTAGAATAATAATGATAATGATAAATTAAGAAAAAGAAAAATGACGAGCAAATAAGCAACAATAAGAAAAAGAAAAAATAGAACGGTAGTAGAAAGACGAAAAAAAATTTTGTATGAAATGTACAAATAAATTCGACAGATCGTTTTCCTAGTGATCGATTATTGTTGGAAAACAACTAAAGTCTACTAGAGATTTTTTACTTTACCTATATTTTATATGTATAATGAGCCTACTAAAGAATACATATGGATTCCACATTCGAGTCCCAAAGTGAATGTGCTGACACACTTTTTTAATTTGGTTCAATAATGGATGTATGTTAACTTTAAAAACAAATCAGTAATGTACTCCTTTTTATTAAGAAAATAGCATTCATCCAAACTTTTCAATTATCAATCGTTTTATGAATGTCAATAGATACTAACTATTAACTTTTCTTGTATCAATTTGAGCTAAAAGTTGTTCATATTCTGTACGACGATTCTTCATACGTATAATATACTCATTTTGTTGGTCTTGCGCTAATTGAACGACTCGTGTTGATATCAAAATCGTATTGAACGGAAGTTGACGCAAATATGATGTTTGTTCATCGTTTGTTTGTAAAATAAGTAAATTAACACTATTTATCTGATTGATTATATATGCTGAAGAAGTATCACTGTAAGCTTTGCACATTGTATAGAGTGAATCAGCTTGTTGTTCTAGGTCTTCACTTGCTTTAATGAGCAAAATAAGGACAAGTTCTTTATCAAATGAATCTAAATGAAAATTATTGTTGCTTGAATCTTTGATAATAACGGGTGGCGCAGAATAAATGGCCCCCTCAATATTTTGATCATAACTTTTTCATTTTTCATGCTATCGAGCTATATTTTTTTTTAAAAGATGCCCCGTGAAATTCTCTACAAAACGAATATATTTTTATTATCTTAAATAATCTCCATTATTTCGTAACATGCGATAGAATTGATGGGTCCAAAATCCCTAACTTTCAAAGGTAACATTTTAATTCTTCGATCACTACTGCTTTTAATGCCACTCTATTTAAAAAAAAAATATATCACAAGATGCAGCGTGAAAAGCTCTACAATCTACAAATTAAAGTTTATTTGAATTGCATACTTTTTGTTTTCGAAAAAAGCAAAACTCTGTACGAATAATTTTTGCCGTTGTGAAAGAATCATTTTTTTTTACATGAACGAGAATCTTTTTTTCTTATTTTATCTTTTTATCATCTAATATATTTTCTTTAAAAAAACCAAACATATCACAAGATGCAGCGTGAAAAACTCTACAGTTCACAAAGAACAGTTTATTTTATTTCTGTATCTTTTATATCCAAAAAAACTCTAAATTCTCTGCGATCGGTTTTTGCAACGCCAAAAATTGGTCGCACAGAGAATTGCATACTTTTTGAAAACAAAAAGTATGCAATTCAAATAAACTTTAATTTGTAGATTGTAGAGCTTTTCACGCTACATCTTGTGATATATTTTGTTTTTTAAATAGAGTGATATTCAAACCAGGAATGATCAAACAGTTAAAATATGCTGTAAAAAAATTCGCAAAAATGTTGTCTTTGAAAGTTAGGGATTTTGGACTAATCAATTGTATCGCATGTTACGAAATAATGGAGATTATTTAAGATAATAAAAATATATACGTTTTGTAGAGAATTTCACGGGGCATCTTTTAAAAAAAATATAGCTCGATAGCATGAAAAATGAAAAAGTTATGATTAAAATACTGAGAGGGCCATTTATTCTGCGCCACCCGTTATTAAGAAAATTTTGAATTAAACCCTAGAGAGAAAAGAAGAAGAATATAAACGAAATTTTGTCAGTCTTGAATAGAAATTCGAAATCTAGATGGATGTACGAATTTTTATTTTTCTTACATTTTGTATATGTTCAACTTGTGAAATAAGCATGTTAAAGAATAACATCATTTTATTCCATTGGACTTGAATTTTGTGGATTTGTGCAACAGAGTCGAGGAGAATGTTGATAATTTCTTGATCATCCTTCCTGGAAACAGCAGCAGTACCGTTAAGTGTAACACTTTGCTGTTTTGACTGAGCAATTTGTTGAATAATTTCAGTGTTACGCTTTTCACTTTTTTTCCCTTTTTTTAAATGTTTCGCTTTTAAAGCAGTGTTATCTTTTATTGTTGTAGCTGCACCTGGAGTGACACTCAGTATTCTTTGATTTGTATGATCTAATTTCGAGGCATATTCAGCTGTAAATAGAGAGGTAGCTTTTTCGGTTAAAATACGATTAGCTGATAAGACTGTTTGAAGACTACGATATTCTTTTGGTGGATTCTTTACACGTAGTCGATCATCTTTGTATGATCCTTCATTAAAAATAAGACCCCTATCGTTGTCTTGACTATTATGTGTTGATTTGATAATATGCGATTGTTTTTTGAGAGTGTTGCCCGTATGATTAGAATAAGTAGCTGCGCTCATTTCCAAAACTTCCGAAAGGAGTTCAGGTAAATAAAATAGTTTTTTAGTTATTGTTCGAGTATGTATAACACTTTCATTAGCTATTCGATTAATATTTTCTAAAATTTTTGGAAGCATGAGATCAGTAACCTTTGATGAATTTGAACTGAGTAATTGAATAGCTGTTCTGATATAACTTGATAATTGCTGAGCATTGAATTGAATAGGAATCATTGTAATGTGCATATTAAGAAGAGTTGAATAAGTTGTGTTTGATATTTGAGAAGAAATATTCGCATATAATAAAATCTCTTTAAAGTGATATATAACATTTTAATCTACAAAATTCGTTTTGATTAATGAACACTCAAATAATTGCTGCTCTAAATGAGTCGAGACCTTTTATATGTTGAAGACTTATAGATGATGGACGAATAAATGGAAAGTCACGTCTACTGGCATATACAACTAAACTATTTACATAATTGATTACAAGTGGCCCAGAAGTCAATAATTCAGTCCATTCAATAGCGAGATTCTGTTGTTGGCCAAGCTGATCATTTAAAGTTAATTGATTAAAGTCATCACTGTCAGAGCGAAATAATGAACCTACAATATATTTATAAACTTCATTTTTATTTTAAGTTCACCATAGGATTTCTGATTATTTAAAAACAAAAACGCTCATTGAAAAGAAACAAGCCTAGTTACATTGCAACTCACCATCCAGTATAAAATCGTGACCTATTAATTGGGATGGAGATTCATTGTCGTCTGTTTGTGAAATGATATTGGATTCACTAGGATTCATAATCAAAGGCAAAATGTTTATATGAGCCTGTGATGGTTCATATACAACAGTTATCCATGCCAGTATAAGTACTAAAATTAAAGATATAAAAACAAGCTGTTAGCACAATCCCTGCAAGATTAAAATGTGAAATACGATGTAGCTGTTGTTGCTAATAAACAGAAGATTGCTTTATTCTATCTATTTTGGGACACATTTCTTCAACATCCTTTTACTTAATCATCTGGAAATGCAATAAGAAAGTAGTTCATATATCATAACGAGGTATTATTGATATACAGTCTTTGATCGTATATCAACAATGCCTGTCATGGTCTTGGAGGCAGAGAGAAGGCTGCAAATTTTTATCCTATATACATCAACATTTCTTTTAGATTATATTTCACAAAAAGCAGAACATTTACGTGAAGATCTGGTTTAGTAATAGTAATAAAATATAAAACTATTTCAAAAATATAAATACTCACAGATACTAATCATTCTGTTGATTATTTAAATCAATATTATATTTAAAAGAACAATATTTTTAATAACTAAAACAAAATTTTATTATTTGCTTCTCATATAATAAAATAGAGACGATAACACATGTGTATGCAAGAGAAACTTATTCCCATCGAACAAGTCATTATCAGCTATATTGTCACTACGATTAAATTCATCTATATTTTTTCAAATAAAAAATCTATTAGAGTAGAGTGGGGTAATTGCAAACAGCTGTGTAAAATAGCGTTATTTTACATAGCTGTTTGCAATTACCCCACTCTTTCTGTGTATGTATGCAACTACCCCACTTGGGGTAAATGCATAAAATTTTACTATTTTTTTGATTTATTATTTTAACTACTGTTTTGTCTATTTAATGACTTTTACAGTAAGATTCTCACCGATTGTAGAGAATTACCAGCTCTATCTACCTGTCAAAAAATGACTAATCAATCTGGTATGGTTGATGAGAAAACTGATTTTTAGTGGTTCTATGTAAAATTGCTGGGAATTTGCAATTACCCCATCATACACAGCCGTTGTTTGCAATTACCCCACATGGGGTAATTGCAAAAATATTCTAGGTGCATCTAGAAAAGTCGCGATTGAACGACTTTGAACAGGTATTTCTTGATAATTTTTAGATGAGTTTGTAGAGAAGACATTGCCCTACAGGTGTAAAAAAAAACTAAAAAAAAATTCCAAAAATTGGCCGCGTTATGATAAGTACAAATGAAAAGAGTGATTTTTTGTTTGCAATTATCCCACTCTACTCTATCTAATGTCCGCGCCAGAATCAAACAACGCGGTGAGTGTAAGCTCAATAACCCGATCACGGCAATAGATAGCGACTTGCAGTTTTTACTAATACAAAAAAAAAAGAGAACTCCGGACGTCTTTTTGTCTGATACTATATAACACAAAATTATTTGACAATCTATCATTGTCGAAAAGTATACATAAAAATTATATTCTATTTTTGATTTTGACATGTGCTTTAGATCTATAATTCAAGAAACAATTCAGGTGATTATCTTCTCGCATCTCAATATTAAGCATACAAAATCACATAGATATTCAGTCAAATTTTATAGAGTTCTGCTGAGTTTTTATCAAAATTTCTTTGAAACAAAACACCATTTTCATGTATGTTTTTGAATTGTTTGCAAAGATGATGGATTTTAATATAATTTTGTTTTATATAGTATCAACACAAAAAAGACGTCAGGATTTCTTTTCTTTCGATTGGCGAAAATCGCAGATCGCTAACTGTTGCCATTGTCGAGTCATTGAGATTACACTTACCTCTTTTTAATTCTAGCACGAATATTAAAAAGAATTTTTTTTCAACAGATGTAGTATCTACATGAATCAATAGCAGTATGCACAAAACATTAAAAACAATTATTTCTTTCCTATCATAAATCATAATACGAGCAGACAAGTCGAATTTGCACATGACATTATTAGCGAGAAATTATAGTTCTTTTTTTGAATAATGATAATCTAAATTTTCAACATTATTTCACAAATAGCTTGTTTATTTTACATATTATCATTCAATCTTTGAGATCAATTTATAAAAAAAAAAAATTAACTCATTCAATTATTTTCAATTCAATATAATCACACATAACAGCATATTTTCTATATGGTATTTGCCATATTCTTAAACCAAAATAAACATGTGATAATTCATAAACAGTAATAATTCCCATTTGTTCTTCAAACCATTGAGAATTTCTTTCATTATTATCATTTCTACTATTATTAATAACATAATGTAAATCAAACCAATCTTGATCCCATTCAAATGAGCTCATAATACCAAATTCTGGTATACATGTAAATTCACCTGTAAATTGATCTTCATTATTTGGTTGTTCATAACGTAATAATTTTAATTTCATTCGACAAATAATTGCATATCGACCGGGTATAATCGATTGAAATTCTCCACGTGTTGCTGCTAACCATTTTGAATCAAGTATTGCAATAGAACCAAAATCACTTGTTATATCACTAATTCTATTTGGATGATGTGCATTACTTATTCTTGCTATATCAAAACAAACATATGTTTCAAATGCAAATGATAAACGTATTCGTTTTGATAAATAATAATAAATAAGTTTTGATAAAGTTGTTTTATTTTGATAATGAATTAAATTACGAAATATATTTTCATCAATAGCCAATTTTAATTTTGATGAAAATTTTGGTATATAAAATTTTGCTCGTTTAGCAGCTGCAAAACCTTTCATGTTACCATTTTGTGCACCAGTTACAATAAGATTCCAACCATTACGTAAAATTGCTGATGGTAATTGTGAATATTGTTTTTCAAATTCAATTAAATATTTATCTGATAAACATAAATCATCATAACTATTTTTATTTGAAAATATTTCATCACAATAACGTTTTAATAATATTGAACCATAACGTATTCGAATTAAATGTCTCCAAAAGAAATCTTCTTCCAGAATATTATATAAATTATGATTTGTTCTTAATAAATGAATAATATCAGTTAGTTCTGGTAAATATTCACAGATTGAATACCATACTATATCAGGGAGAGTAGTCCAGTCGAAACTCATTATGCTAGATTATTCTTCGTTTTTTTTTATCGTCTATCATTTTCCAGATACATATATATATATACATATTAGTTTACTAATATTCTTTTAGTAAGTACAAACAGAACAAAAAAGAAAGAAGGAAAAAGAAGAAGAAGAAGAAGAAGAAGAAGAAAAGATTTGTTTTCTTATTCTTAGCAAAGTCAAAAGCATTCTTCGTTGGTTGGAGTATAATAACACGTTATTTGCGCTTTGTGCATGCCAGTGCGTACAAAACAATGTTCTAAAGGTCGATAGATGTGGCTATGAATCGATTTATGCTACATAATATCATTTCGTTGACCATGATAAAAATATTTAAAATATATTATTTCACCAATTAATATTATTCCAAAAAATGTTATACCCAAGCTCATACCAATTTGTGCTGAACGAGTTGGTGGTGGTTCAGCTACTCAAAAACATTTTTTTTTCTAGATATGTAAAGAAATTTTTACCTTTTAAAAGTGTTCGCAAAGAACTGCTCGATGGTGTCGTGTCAGTCACATCACTAGAACTATCATTGTCATCAGTTTTCGTTGTATCAATATTGATAGTTGTTGTATCAGAAATTGTTTCTGATTCGACCGAGACGACTTTTCTATCAACTAAAAATAAAATAAAATAAGAATTGTTTTCATTGATCTCTTTCATTATTACTTTTAATGTTAAATTCAATTGTATTAGTTAAAATTGTTGTACTTGCACTTTCATAAATAAGAGCAATATTCACATGGATAGAAGTAATAAATATATAGAAAATCGTAATTCCAAAAAGATTCATTTTTTAACAAATAGAAAAAATAGAACATGATAGTAATATTTAACAACACAAAAATATATCCAAGAAAATTTTC